ATTATGAACAGTTGTTAGCTGCCATGTGGGTGCTGGGATTCGAACTCAGGTCTTCTGCAAGAACAACCAGTGTTCTTAACTGCTGCGCCATCTTTCCAGCTCCCACAACATAAAATTTAACATCTTAACATTTTTGGTTTGGGGCATTTTTCTGAGACAGGCTCTTGCTTTGAAGCCCAGGCTTCCCTCAAACTCTTGATCCTCCAGTCCTTGCCTATTGAGTGCTATGTTTACAGAACAGTGCCACCTCACCCAGCGCCGTAGCAACCATGTCCACATGGGCATCCCCCAGTCACAAGCCTGGCCTTGTCCTTGACGTTTCTCACTGCTTTTTACTCCACTGCTGCAGTCTCCACCTCGGAGGCCCCTGCCACTCCTGCTGCCTCTTGTGTTGCAGCTCAGCCCATGATAAAAACCCTAAGTTGGAGACTACTCAGGAATTTATTGAGTGGCTGGGAAGCTGCCTCTGTCAGTAAAACACTTGCAACACAGGCATGAGGATCTGAGTTCAGATGCCCAGCACCCACATAAAAGGCCAGGCACAGTGGCACACATCTCTAATCTCAGGACTGAGGAGGCAGAAACACAAGAACACCTAGGAATTGTTAGTCAGGCCATCTAGCTAATCCATGAGCTCTGGTTCAATGACCAATCTTGTCTCAAAAAACAAGGTAATTGGGGCTGGAGAAATGGCTCAGCATTTAAGAGCACTGACTGCTCTTGCAGAGGATGCAGAAGACCCAGGTTCAATTCCTAGCACCCACCACTGGAGTTACAACCATCTGTAACTCCAGTTCCAGGGGGATCTGACTCCCTCTTCTGACCTCCATGGGCATTGCACAATACGGATGCATTTACATACATGCAGACAATACATTCATACGCATAAAATAAAAATAATAAATATAGCCTGACATGGTGGTGTATGCCTTTAATCCCAGCACTCAGGAGGCAGAGGCAGGTGGCTCTCTGTGAGTTCGAGGCCAGCCTGGTCTACATAGTGAATTTCAGGTCAGCTGTGGCTACAGGGAGACCCTGTCTCCAAAAGACCAAAAAATAAAATAAATAAAAAACCTCATACAAATTTGCAAAGCTTGCCCAAGATAGAGAGGCAATTGAAGAAAACACCTGACATTGATCTTGATCTCTGGCCTCCACATACACCCATACACACATGTGAACTCCTAAACACACACACACACACACACACACACAATTCTTTATTGGGGCCTAATGTCGCAACACCAAGGGGTCAAACACAATATAATCCCCTGACCAACATGAAAAGTGCTTCGGTTATATAGTCAAGAGGGGGTGTGGTGTGGGTGTGGTATGCAAATGAGATGATTTTAATATATACTAAGTTAATGAACTCCCAAAAGAACCAATCATAAGGCGATTCTTGATGCTTTCTGCTGAATCACCACGGAAAGTGCTCCCCTCTGGTTCGGATTGTAAGGTCATCTAGGGTTCACAAGGCTGACTTGCTTCTGGAGCTGGTGTGGGCTGTGTGGAACAGCCATGACTATAGAGGTCATCAGCTGTTACAGTATCCTAAGACTGACAGCAAAAGGGACCAAAACAGCTGGACAGCTGGGCTACCATGATGGCCGTCTGTCCAGATGCCAGTAAAGATGTTCAGCTGACAGTTCTCTGCTCAAGGCTGCAAGGCATTGAAGAGGAGCCTATCAAACAGTTTTAAACATCTGCAGAAAGTATTAAAATGGGAGATTACAGTGTAAGCTTTTGAAAGCTTAACAGAACTAACAATTCTAATAGCATTTAATAGGATTAAACAGTGCATCACAGTTCTTAAAGCCTGGTCCAGTGCTCTAAGGAAGGCTGGGTCCTTCTGATCTAGCTCAATAAAACTGAGGGACATTCCACTTACTTCTGATGCAGATCTCTGAGAACAATGGGGCCTTTCTCAGGCCAGATGTGTCAGACTCAAGGACTCAGGTGCCAGACAAACAACAGTCACCAAAAATCAATCTGAGACAGTGGCTCTCAAGTTCATGTCAATGATGATTAATGACCCAGACACACATGGGAGGGTGCCAACCCAAAACAGATTTTGTTAAGGAAAATTAAGGAAAAGTGAAGGAAATTTGCAAAAGTAGGTGGGGGGTGGTCTCAAAAGAAGAAATAAAAACACTGAGCTGTTTCTCCAAAAGTTTTTTATAGGATTGATAGCAGAAACTGAACAAAGACAGGTCATTTTTGTTGAGATCGTTTCATTTCCTGGACTTACCATGGACCCAATCAATGGGTCTCACACTCTTGGCCCGTGCAGGCAGATGATCATATGCTGAGCACCCACTGCTCATCCAATTAGGGAGGTAGCCATGACCGAAGTTACCTGCTATATAACTTTGACTTCTCTTTTGTTAGATGCTGACCTTGACTTGGCTGCTGGCTGCTGACCCTGGCAAGACTTCCTAGTCTCTGACCTTGTTGCTGTCTTGCTGGTTGTTAACTACACTATGTCCTCTTTGTTCTCATGTCTATATGAGACATGGACATGTCACCATGGACATTTGCTTTTGCTACCTACAGAGAGCTAACTACTGTCTTCTTTGTAAAACCCTAGAAGACCAGACATAGGTCATCATGCCCAACGGTCCCTTCTTGTCACCCATCTCTCAGACTCGAGTCATAAGGTAGGCCCAGCACACTTGAAGGAAGAGAGAAGGATCTGACAACATCCCTGTCATATGCCACATGTACAATCTTTAAACATCCCTCTGTCCTCTGTGGACCTAGGGCATCCTTCAAGTAACGGTAGACCAGGCAAAAGAAGTACATTACGCCAAAGCTGTTGGACATTAACCAACTTCATACAAATACCTAAGACCCATGAAAACACAGGGCACCTCTGTTGTCTGTAGTTAGGAGCACAAGTCACAAAGTGTATCTGACTTGAGCTTGCCTTGCAATGGGTCCTTCATATTGTCCCCTCCCCTGGCCACCACTTCTCAGGTTCCTGAGTATATAACTGGAATGGGTGCCCTTGGAAGCTGCAGGTGGTCCACCAGACCCATAATGGGGGGTTCTGAGGTTGTTATAGTGAGACTTTGGGTTTTACATATCTACCAAATTCCTAAATCAAAATCAATGCCAGCTTTTAAAAGATTTCAGGATCAATGTTATCAAGGCTTAAAGGGCAGGAGTAGGGGATGCCTATGACACAGGGCTTCACCCCTCTGGCTTGGTCAGTGCCCAACAGACATATCCACGATATATCCATATCTTAGAAAGCAAAGGTAGGGGCTCATGAACCTCCGCGGACTGAACTGACAATGAAATTGTCATTCCAAGGTTAATCTTGTTAGTGGCACGAATAATATAACCTCTGGCTCTTTCCTGTATCACTCAGGTTTCTTGGTTACAAGCAACATGCCAACTGCAACATTGTATGAAAAAAATAGCAAGAAATTTGTTGGAAGGTATCTAAGGTACCCCACATCAAGAGGAAGCCAGAGGCCAGGTTTGAGAAATAAGTAGAAACCAAGATAGCCCCGTGGCATCTGGGGCAGAGCATCTCTATTCCATTGCTTCTCTCTGAAGAAGCCCCATCACTGAGAACGCGTTCCAAGCACCCTTGGATATTACCTTCTTGCTCTGGAATCAGTGGCCAATTTAGACAGTCAATCACCCACCTATAGATGCCAGGACCAAGATGATGAGGAAAAATATGATCTCTTCAGTCTCCCTCAGAGGCTATGCTTGCTGGAAAAGCCCAGACTCGGAAGAGAACAGAAGCCAAGCAGTTCTCTCCTGTCAAGCAGGACTATCACATCCTCCAGGGCCCGAAATATGGGAACTCTTGCTCAGAGCAAGCAGACACCAAACTCCAATTTGCAAAAACCAACTTAAGAATTGAATGGTTGAGAACACTGAAAAGACCAGGAGGGCAGAATTCAGGTGCAAACACCTGGCCATCAGTGCTCAGCCTCGCTCAGATTTCCTGGGAGTTTGCCCACACACAGACCTCAGCCAGCACTGGAGGGCCAAGGAACCTGCAAGTGTGATCCTAAAGAAAAAGAAAGAGTCCCCAGTCCCCTCTACCTGGAAGGGTCCTTGGCTGGGATCTGCATTGTGTCCTGGGTATCAGCTAAGGATCTGGTTGGAATTCAACATTCTGGAAGGAATAAATCTGGAGGTTGGTGGCAAAGGTATTTAGGAAAAAGATATATGGATGGAGCCAGAATGAGGCCAGAGCTGTAAACCCTTCTGTCCCCTGAGCAGGCTCTCTAAGTCTCTACTACAAAAGAGACTTAATGCTTAAAGGAAGAACGTGTCTTTGTGGCCACAAGGCCCTGTCTGTTTCCAAAGAGGCTTTAGAACCAGATGGCTAGGAGAGAGGCTGTGCTCACCCACACTCCATGGGGCATGCCTCACCACGGCCAACTACTTGCCACCTGATGACTCTTAACCCCAGAAATTACTGCCTTGGACACCACTGAGATGGCCAGAAGGGACTTCGCACAGATCAGCTGGGAGAAGACAGCTTGAGGGCAGAGTGCTGCCTTATGGGATGGGCTCTGAACCACTCCCAGAAATGAGTTCATCACCCCACAGAAAGAGCTACGGGTCTGGGTCTTAGGAGGTTAGGATGAGGGCAGAAGCTCTGGGATCACACAACCTAAATGATGTTCCAATGCCAAACCTGAGGCTGGAGAGATGGCTGAGCAGTTAAGAGCACCTCCTGCTCTTGCAGAGGACCTGAGTTCAGTTCCTAGCACCCAGGTCAGGCAGCTCATAACCTCCTGTCATTACAGTTCTAGGAAATCTGATGCCCTCTCTAGCCTCTGCAGGTACCCACACCTATGTGCAAAAAGAGAGAAAGGGAGAGAGAAATTTTTAAAAAGAAGAAATGCCTAACTCCTGAACTTCATGAACTTAATTTCCTCCTTTCCCCTCTAACAAAATGCCTCTGTCTTCAAGTTGCTATCCAATACATCTCCCCTGACCTCTGGGCTGCTGGAGGAGGTGTCATGTCACTGAGTCTGGCCTGACTGCAAACTGTCATAGATCCAAACAAGCCTCTCCAATTTCTCCTCCAGCTCCTGAGCCTGCTGCCTCAACACTTCAGCTGACCTTGTTTTTGCCCCTTCATGCAAATGCTTGGACTCTTTCACAAGGCTGAGCACATCCATAAGAAGGGACACCCCTGCAGTGGCTGCACCCATGATCCGGGCTCTTCTGCTCAGTGCCAGAGGAGTGCCTTTAAAGGCTTTCTTCACCTGTTTACCACTTTGGACAGAAATTCTCCCAGTAGTTGTGAAGCACTTGGCACTGGCTGTTAAGGCAGGATTGGTTTTGATGAGCTTGATACCATCAATGGTCCTCTCAATGCATTTCACGACCCGGAAGCAATTCTGGGATAGAGAAAAGACTTTGGGCACTGAATGAGCCACAGTCCCTGCAACCACCTTCACTTTGTCCATGCTGGTTGACACCAGGTGGCTGGCTTCAGTTTGGGCTGACAACTTGTTTGCATGGTCTACAATATCAGTGGAAATACTAGTCACTGCAGCTGCTGCTCCCAGCCCCATCCCAGTTGCTAAGAGCACCAGACTGGTCCCTGCTGTCACAGGAACCAGAGCAAGACCAAGGAGGGTCAACACTCCAGAGACAGTGCTGGTAGTGTCGGCCACAACGCTGGAGATGGTGCAGTCCCTGTGCACCTTGTCCACCTTGTCTGCAAGGGCACGGAGCTTCCTGATGTGCTCCTCACACTCCAGTTTCACCTGAGGAAATGAGTCCACAAACCATTCCCTGTCATTTTGGAGCCTGCTGTCATCTTTAACAGCTATGCTGGCTGTGAGTTCACTCAGGGCCTCTCGAAAGTTGGTTGCCTCAGCCCTGTAACAGACATCAAGAGATTTAGGAGCGCCGGTTTAGCAGAGGCTATAGATCAGTGATAGAACACTTGCCTAGCATGTGTGAGACCCTAGGTTCAACCTTCAGTGCTGTGGAAAATTAAGAGAGACAGTTTGCTATGAGCTCCATAATGTGTGGCCTGCACAAATCACAGAGCACTTACTGTGAATCAAATGGGGTTTCACAAGTGTACTGAATTTTTCTTCTGGTGGTAAACATTGGGAAATCATAGATGTTCATGGTCCTTAATCAGTAGAGGGCCACAAGTAAAAGTCATGTTAAGATGCCCTTTAGGGGGCTGGTGAGTTGGCTCAGGAGTTAAGAGTGCTTGCTGCTCTTGTAGAGGACCAGATCCCAGCACTCATAATCAGGCAGCTCACAACCATCTGTAACTCCAGCTCCAGGGGATCTGATGACCTGTTCTGACCTTTGTGGGTACCTACACACACAGACACATATATACATACACATAAATAAGATTTTTTTTTTTTTTTTGTCTTTTTAAGACAGAGTCCCTCTGTAGCTCTGGATGGCCTAGAACTCACTATATAGACCAGGCTGACTGATTTCATAGAGATCTGTCTGCCTCTACATCCTGAGTACTAGGATTAAAGACATGTGCCACCATGCCCAGTCAAAATATATTGTTTTAAAAATATGTTCTATAGGCCAGGCATGGTAGCACACACCTTTAATCCCAGCACTTGGGAGGCAGACGCAGGTGAATCTCTGTGAGTTCAAGACCAGCCTGGTCTACAATGTGAATTCCAAGCCAGCTGTGGCTACAGGAAGACCCTGTCTCAAAAATACATGTGTGTGTGTGTGTGTGTGTGTGTGTGTGTGTGTGTGTGTGTGTTCTACAGGGGCTCCGGATGTAGCACAGTGGACAGGGTGCTTGCCCAACATACATGAGGTCCTGGGTTCCAGCACTGCATAAAACCAGGCATGGTGGCACAAGTTTGTAATCTCAGCACTCAGAAGGTGGAGGCAGAAGGATCAGATCAAAGTTATCTTTGGCTACAAAGTTAGTTCAAAGACAGGGAAAGATACATCAGACTTTGTGTCAAAAAGAAAAAAGATGCATTTAGTGGCAGGCACTTGAGAAAGATGTTTTGTCATTCAAGGTCAACACTGTATCAGCATATTCATCTGGGGGGGACTCAGCAGGGGAACACAGGGAAGTGGGATTGGAGCACAAAGCCCCCTTGATTGAGAGAATATTGGTGTGTACTGATGAATTCCCCAACCCCAAAGAGAAAACTTCCCCTTTGCCCTCAGCTCCTGGGACATGATCTGCAGACCCTGTAATGTTCTCCTTGCTGGGAATATCTGCATTTTTCTGGGAATATTGACTGGAAGATCATTTAGATTGGAAAGTATCATGAGTGTAAAAATACTAAATCTGAGAGGCTCCCAATGCTGAAGACTTTTGAACAATGCCATGATGCCCAAATGGAAAGTTCCATATTCAACGTATCGGGACAGCTCACAGTCAAAATGCAGGTGCACAGCCAGGTGCGGTGACCCAGGCCTTTAATCCCGGCACTCAGGAGGCAGAGGCAGGCGGATCACAGAGATCTGCCTACCTCTATAGCCTGGTCTACATAGTGAGTTCCAGGCCAACCAGGGCTACAGGGAGATCCTGTGTCAACACCACCACCAAAACTAAAGCAAAACAAAATGCAAGTGCACTAAAAAGATTGTAGAAAATTACCATGTGTACAAGATGTAAAGAAATCAAAGTGAGGGCTGGAGAGATGGCTCAGCAGTTAAGAGCACCACTTGTTCTTACAGAGAACTGGGTTCAGTTCCCAGCACCTACATGGTGGCTAACAACCATTCATAACTCCAGTTCCAAGGGCACAAATACCCTTTTCTGGCCTCTTCAGGCATTGCATGACACGTGCACTTACATACATGCAGGCTAAACACACATACATATAAGAAAAATAGGAAGGAAGGCAGGAAATCAAAGTGAATTTTATGTTTAGAATTGGGTCTCATCTCTATAATACATTTCAAAATCAAGAAAATTCCAGCTGGGTGGGGGGCGCTGGAGAAATAGCTCAGCACTGGCTGCTCTTGCAGAGGTCCTGAGCTCCACTCTAGCACATACATGGCGATTAACAACCATCCATAATTCCAGTTCCAGGGGAATCTGACACCCCTTTCTGAACTCTGCAGGCATTTCATGACATGGATGCACTTACATCCATTCAGGCAATATACTCATAAAATAAAAATAAAATATTTTTTAAAAAGAAGAAAGAAAATCCAGGATTGGAAACAATTCTGTTCCCAGTCATTTATTGTGAAAAAAAAAAAATCCTTAACCTTAACCACTTGGTGTGTGGTAAGGGTTTTGGTGTTATTTCTGACCTCCAAAGAGCTGGGGGCTAAATACTTTGACCTTTAGGAGGATGAGAGGGCCCAGGTCAGCCTTGAGGACAGTGTGTGATCAAGCCTTGTGATGGCTAGAGAGACGCTGGAACACTGCCAAGCACAATTCTGGGTGTAGCTGTGAGGGAGCTCCAGTGATAATAGGCCTGGGGGTGGGGGACGACGGACGGCTACACAGTGTTTGAAGCAGCACTAAAAGGCTGGGGACCAGAGAGAAGAGAAAGCAGAAAAACAGGGGAACTGCCTAAGAGCAGGTGACCTGGACAACTCAGCCTCTGCCACGAACGCCTCCCACGCTCCTTCTTCAGTCAGCAAGAGCTGCAGGTCCTCTCTGCTTACTGCATACCGCAGATACTCGGTGGTTTCCTCAATGACGTTTCTCTTCTCTAGAAGAATGACATTAGAGAACAGGGTGGAAGAGTTCAAATGGCTTTAAGCACAGGGTCCACTTCCCAGGCTATCCCAGCCTCACCTGAGGGAGGAGGTGATTCCTGGTCATACTCCCCCAGGACAGGGCCAGTAAATGGATGGTTTTCCCATTCCCTCTCCCCCAGAGCTGGTGTCCCTTGGGACTCTGTTCTTCACTCCTCTGCTCTGAGAATGGAGACCCCCATAGTTCTAGGTCACAAGCAAAAAGTAACCAGAGCAATACAACTACCTGGAGAGTCTGCAGGGGCTGCTGGCTCCATGGTGCCAGCTGCAGGGTCTCTGAGAGGTTTTCCTTACAGTTCGCCCAGGCTGCAGGAGGGAAAAACAAACTGTGAGGTGGAATGGGGACAGCTGCAGGGATCGCAGGTGTCCCAGTTCCTTCCCCCGGTGGCTGCCAGGGACCAAGCAGACTTCATCCAAAGTGTTTCTCTGCCCTGGGCTCTGCAGAAGTCAGTCATCTGGCTCTAATCCCTGACCCCACCCGACCCCACCAGCCCCCCTCCCTGTAGCCAAGGCAGAGACCTCCTGTCCCATTAGGATCCGAGGAGGTGATCAGTAGATGGTGCCCCCCTGGGAAAGAATTAAACCTGTGCACAGAAGGAAAGAGGGACTGTTCTAGCTTGGTTTCTGTTGCTGCAAGAAACACCATGACCAAAACCAACCTGGGGAGGAAAGGATTTATTTTAGCTTATTTTTGCTCATCTTTGAGGAAAGTCAGGGCAGGAGGAACCTGGAGGGAGGAACTGAAGCAGAGACCATGAGGGAACGTGGCTTGGTTTGGTGGCTTGCTCCCTCTGGCTTGCTTTTTTTTTTTTTTTTTTTTTTTTTTTTTTTTGTCTTTTTGAGCTAAGGTCTAAGGTTTCTCTGTAGCCCCAGCTGGCCTGGAACTTGCTCTATACACCAGGCACATAGATCCACCTGCCTCTGTCTCCCAAGTGCTGGGATTAAAGGCATGTGCTACCACATCAGCTACCTTTCTCATATGGCCCAAACCTACATGCCTAGGGATGACACCACCCATAGTAGACTGGGCACTCCTCACCAATTAATAATCAGGAAAATGCTTACCTATAGTGGACTGGTCACTCCTCACCAATTAATAATCAGGAAAATGCTTCGGGGACATGGCTACAAGTCATTCTGATGGGAGCAATTCTTCAATTGAGGTTCCCTCTTCCGAGGTGTATCAAGTTAACAAAAACTAATCAGCACAAGGAAGCAAGCTCTGGCAGCAATCCAGGAGTAGGAGCACACGTGCTAGCTAATGATGACAACTGACGTTATCTGTGATGCACAGGGCTCCCTACATCATGTCATTGAATGATCATACACACACACACACACACACACACACACACACACACCCTGAGATGAGGGCGACTGGGATTCCATTTTAAAGTAGGAGACCACCAAAGTTAGCAAACATTCTCAAGTTTTACAACAGTGCTAGCGCCAGGACTTGCAGCCAAGTCATTCCAATCTGCATCCCAACCTTCAGAGGCTAAGCTCCAGTGCCTTACACAGATACTGGGATTCCCACCTGTCCATGTGCACACAGTGAATGGCTTCTCACCCGCAGCAAAGCTTGCATCCTGTGCCCACACCTTGCCTTGGTAAATCCAGTGGTGCTCCCGTGCTCGCCCAAGGCCCACAGACCTCTTGGCTTCTGCAGGATACTGTATCCCACCAGAACCTAGAATCCTGCCAGATCCTGTCCCTGTCTCTATCCTTGCTCTGGGCTGCCCAGTCCCCTCTGCTGTCCTCCCTAAGTGTTGGGCCTCATGTCATTTCTAATCTTAAATGTGAACAGTAGTGCAAAGAACAATTTTCTGTGTATAACTTTGCCTGCAGTTCAGATTATTTCCTTAAGATATTTCTAGAGAGCTGTCAAGATGGCTCAGCAAGAAAGGGTGCTTGCTGCTGATGACCCGAGTTCGCACTTAGGTCCTACATGGTAGAAAAAGCATCGATTCCTGCAAGTTGTCCTCTGACCTCCGTATGCATACCATGGCTCACGCATGCCTGTACATACACATGCACACAAATAAATTTTTTTTAAAAGTTAAAATAGGGTTGGAGAGAAGGCTCAGTGATTAACAGCACTGGCTGCTCTTGCAGAGGACCTGGGTTTGATTCCCAGCATACACATGGTGGCTACAACTGTTTGTACCTCCAGTTCCAGGGGATCCAACACCCTCTTCTGACCTCTATGGGCATTGTCCGACACAGGTGCACTTACATACATGCAGACAATACACTCATACACACAATAAAAATACTAAATAAAATATTTTTAAATATTAAAATAAATTGGGCTGGGCATAGTGGCACACGATCCCACTTTAATCCCAGCACTCAGGAAGCAGAGGCAGGTGGGTCACTGTGTATTCAAAGCTAGCCTGGTCTACATAATGAATTCCACACCAGCAAGGGATACATAGAGACCTTGTCTCAAAATAATAATGATAACAATAATAATAAACTTTAAAAGTAATAAGTTAAAAATTGACTTACGTTCTAGAGAAGAAAGCTAAAATTAAACACAATTATTTTCCACTAGGATAGGGACAAGAAAGCTCTCTATGTGAATGGTTTCCTCGGTTACCTTCCAGGCACATGAAGGCCACTTTGCCCAAAACACTGACAGTCCTGCAGAACCTCCGTGGGTCACCGGATGGGATGGAAAGCTTGGCACCTGTCATTGTATCACATCTGTCCCCTTTGCTACTTCACCTTTGAGTCAGATCCTGCCCAGCTCTGCAAGTGCTTGTGGTATACTGAAGTATACTTGGTCCCTGCTGCACTGCAGGGTTAACTACTACAGGGTTAATTTGACTGGCCTGTCTGTCTTCTCTCTTCAGGGCTCAAGATACCCACCAGCCACCATGACAGAAAACACTGGTCAATGTAAGAAACAAGAAAAGGGGGTACCTGAATTCCTAGGGTGCTTTCTATTCTCAGAACGTACATCAATGTCCTTTCCCTTCATAAAGAGGTAAAGCAGCACTCTATCCCTTGTCAATCTTTTTTTTTTCTTTTTCTTTTTTGTTAATTTTTACAAAAACTTTATTGAGAATTTCATACATGCGTATAAGGTGTTTTGATCAAATCCATGCCCACTCCCTCCGTTCTAACACTTCCCATATCTCCCCATCACTTTTCTCTGATAACTTCATGTACTCTTCTTCTTTGATTGATTTATTTATTTGTATGGGGCATTTGGCTACTTTAACATTCCATCTTCTGATGAGGTAACCCTAAAATCTTTTAAGAGCTTCTTTTCTTTGGGGTCTTTTTACCTTAACTGCCTAGCCAATTCCTACCTCCTATTCTTATCATGCCATCCTCTGAAGAGGTTACCCAAATTGTCAATAGGGAATAGGGACGCCGACTGCTCTGGCTCCTTCCATGCTGAACAGGGATGCAGGGTGAGGCAACTGGAGTACCCCTTCAGTGGGTCTATCTAAAAGACTCCCAAATTGCATAAATCTTATCTCTAAGGGGCAAAGAAAGTCCTTGAATCATGAATGGGAGATGTGAAGGAGAAGTAAAGGCAAGAGTAATTAGAATGCCTTTAATCCCACACTTGGGAGGCAGAGGCAGGCGGATCTCTGTGAGGTTTAGGCCAGCCTGGTCTACATAGTGAGTTCCAGGACAGCTGGGGCTACAGGGAGACCCTGCCTCAAAAAGACAAGAAAAAAAATATTAAACAAGTTCTAGACAGGGAACCAGAAAAAAGTCAGAACAGGGCAATTTTCAAATGTTCATATGAGAGTCCACTGTCAATCTTATACTACATGTGACTCCCCAGTACCCCTGAGAAAAACTGATTTGTAAGCAAAGACTCCTCTTTTCCAATCTTTGGCCCCTGAATAAAGCCTTGCTTTTTTCCCCTCTTTTATCTCTTGGACACTAGTTTTTCTGAGGAATGAGCTTCCAGACCTGAGTTTAGTAACACAGTGACTATGGCTAATTCCTGATGCACCTGCACTGGGAGAAGGCTGCTGAAAGGGAAGACAGGCGTGACAACAGAGATGACCGGCCCTTCCTCTTGTTTTCTGCTTTCTTGCAAGACCCAAGATTAGGAAGCTCCTTGAGATTATGAGACACAAGTCCAAGAGCCAACCAGAGACCCAGAAGGGCAGGCGGGCAGACAGAGCTGGGGTCCTGGGTGGCTCCACACATTGGTAGGAATCATCCTTCCTTGTCACTCTCAGTCTTGTTCTGACCTTGTCTTGGACCGCAGGTGGGTGCTTATGTGGGTGCAGTGGGTTTCTTTGGATGGGCCTGTCATTCCATTTTTAGAAAGGCTGTTCTAGGACTGAAAGAGGCTGTACTGGCGGCAGCTCAGATGGCAGCCCTGCCCTGCTCCTGGCCAGATGAGCAGGGTAGATAGGAAAGTGCTCCCACTCCTCCCTGGGGCCTGAGCAGGGCATCTCCCAAGCTGAGGCTTCAACGTCTTCTCCTTGGGCAGGAAAAGGACTTAAGATGGTTTGCTGCTCTGAGCAACACTTGCTGCCCTCCCTAGGTCCAGCTGAAGCCCTGTTAGCCAGAACACCAGTCCTCATGTCTGCTGCAGTTTTTGTCTACCAACCAGGCAGTCCTTGATTCCACCATGCACCTTCAAGGCCACCCTGTCTCAGTGACCATGACCTGTTCTCCTACCTCCAAGCCCATCTATAAGTTGAAAACAAGATCTTGGTGGGCAGAGTGGAGGCCAACACTGCCCTGAAGCAAAAATGTGGCCATGATAAACTACGTTTTCTGCTGGGCGTGGTGGCACACGCCTTTAATCCCAGCACTTGGGAGGCAGAGGCAGGTGGATCTCTGAGTTCAAGGCCAGCCTGGTCTACATAGTGAGTTCCAGGACAGCTGGGGCTACAGGGAGACCCTGTCTCAAAAAGACCAAAAAAAACCAAAACAAAAAAACACATTTTCTGGCTTTGACCCAGGCATATTTTCACAAGTCTAGAATCCCAGAACTTGGGAGGCTGAGACAAAAGAACAACGAACTCCAGGCCAGCTTGAGAGTCATAGGAAGATGCTGTCTCAGGAAGGAAGGGAGGGAGGGAGGGAGGAAGGGAGGAAGGAAGGGAGGAAGGAAGGGACGGAGGGACGGAAGGACGGAGGGAGAAAACTAGCCCTGGAGTTAGTTTTCACAAACAAATGCCTATCTCCCCCCATACCCATAGTCTCCTTGTGACCTTATGATTACAGTTAGGATGGTCCTGCGGACACCATTTGGAAACGTATCCCTCTAGGTCCCCAAACCAATTCCTGTGCCCATCTGGACACATAAGACAGCCACTGCCTTCCTCCTTCATGTCCTACAGACTGAGGCCAGATAAGGCCAGGGATTAGGGGAGATGCAGGCCTGTTACCCACTTGCTCAGCCTGGTACCCTGGGCAAGTCATCCCCCTAGTAGGACCTTGGTTTCCCCCACAGGGCCTGGAACAAAGTAGATGCTCAGAAGCAGGTTGGGTGAGAAACCCCTGTGTTGGGAGCTATTAATCCATTATGTACATTGAGCTGTGGCAGGCTTGTTTACTGAGTTTGTGTTTTGCACACCAGTACCTAATCTGCCAAGTCAGGAGGAATGTGTTTCTATGGTGGAGCTCACAACAAGTATTTGACCGCTCCTTGACCCTCAGATTCAGGTAGGAAAAACAGCTGTTGAAATTAACTGAGTTAAGATCTCTGATGTTCTGTATAAAAAGGTGGAGCTAAAATATACCGGGGCTGCAGTCTCTACTGACAGTCCTCCCAAGTATCTTTTCTGTCTCTTGTTTTTTCTTTCAATCCTCACTCCCCCTTTCAGGTACTGTCCATCTTGGCCGGCTGGCACCGGCACCCCTGGTCCCCTTGTGTCTCAGAAAGCAGCCTTTGTACCTATCAGGCCTCAGCAGTAGAATTCAGGGCAGCTTAGGCTGTCCATGCCACAGGACTGGTGGACCCTGGATCCCCCAGTCCCTCAACCTCCTTTGGTCCCTCCATTTCCCCAGGTATTAAACACCCAGAGCACCTAGCCTCCCACTGAGGTTCCTGGGCCATGTCCCAGACAGTGTGAATCTGAGCTGATTTCTGGGCAGAGAATCAGTTGATCTCAACTGAGGGACTTCTATACCCTCTTGGGCTTAGGGGCAGAGGGAGAGGGAGGGGTTGAATGGTATGACCTGGCACCATGTCCCCAGCCTCACCGAGCTAATGTATAAAAGAGAATAATAATCTTCCATAGCAGTTGTGAAACTGGGCAGGTGGGGAGCTCATACATTCCCCAACTTAGCAAAGAGTCTTCCCTAGCTGGGTTGGGATGGGAGTCAACTGTCCTCAGTGGTGTGGACCCAGTCTCCAGCTGTGCATCTGAGTCATAGCCAAAGGCAGCCTCCAACCTGATACACCCAGCACAGGAAAGGGAAAGCCACGCCTTCTGAGCAGATCTCTAACTGATCAACATACCAAGCACACACCACTTGCTGGGCACCAACCTCATCCCTCCCTCCTTGCAGAAACGCCCTCAGGAACTTCTCAGCCCATACACATAAAATTAAAATAAATCTTTTAAAAACCCACAAACCAGTTTCTATGTTTGTTTGCTTTCTGCAAATACAGTGTATTAGTTACTTTTTCTGTTGCTGTCATAAGACACGATGACTAAGGCAACTTTTAAAAGTAATAGTTTATTTGAGCTTACAGTTCCAGGGGTAAGGCAGGGAGGGCATGGCAGAAGGAGGTGGCCAGGGCAGAAAGTTGAGTGATTACATATTCAAGCAGGTACAGAAAACAGAGAAAGACTGGAAATCTGGCAAGGCGTAAGAGGTCTCAAAGTCTGTCCCCAGTGATGTGCTTCTCTGGCATGGCCATACTTTCTAAAACCTCTCAAAACAGTGCCACCAACTGGGGACAATCTGTCCAAATACTTGGAGCCTATGGGGGACATTTTCATTAAAACCACCTACTAAAAAAATTCTACTCCCTGGCCCCCATAGACTCACGATATAAAATGCATTTAGTCTACCTTCAAAAATCCCCATAGTCTTTACCAAAACAAGACCAAAAACCAGCAGGGCAGAAACTAGATTCCTACGTCCAACTCCTGGACTTTACTTCCAAAGCTGATGGCTTGGCTCCTCCAGCTTTGCTGTGTATAATATACACCCGTCTCTTGACTGGCATCGCTCCCTGTGTGCAGCTCTCCTTGGCAGATGTCACAGCATCCTCAACATCTTCTTGGGGTCTCCACTGCCAACTGGGCTTCACCTTCACAGCCTCACGAACGACCTGCCAGGGCCTTCTTTATGCAGGGACACCTTTGCTACCCGCTGCCTGGCCTAGGTGGCTCTCTGAAAGGACCAATAATCCCTTCATTCTTCCGTCTTTCATGCCTCTAAGGCCAGCACCACATGGATAACACTGCCAATTCCGATTGTCAGTTTGGGATGGACCCCGACCTGCTCCATCCACGTTACCTTTCTAGGTTGCAGTTTTCTAGGAGAAAGCACCTTAGGCTGTTTCCTTTCACAAAGAAGCTTAGCTGGAAGGGGTCTTACCCTGAGGGTATGCTTTCCATTGTTTAAATGCAAATCCATAGGCCTCTCCCATCTCTGTTGGAGTGAGGGTATTGATGGTCTTCAGGAAGACTTATCACCACAGACTATGGGACTCGTACACACAGGTCATGCCTCCCCCATCTCCCAGGTCCTA